GACCCTCCGCTTCGTGGGCAGGCGGCGGCGACTCGACCGTGAGCGACACGACGTTTTCACCGCGCAGGAGGACGAGGCCAAGCATGCGCTTCTGGACGCGCTCTTCCTTGAGGGACGCGGACGTCGCGTTCTTGACCTTGTTCTTGAGGGTCCGGAACTCCTCGCAGTCGCCAAGGACGAGGTTCATGTGTTTGTCAAAGGCCATGAAGGTCCCGATGAGCACGCGGCCGTCCGCGAGCGTGACCTTCATGCGGTAGTTGATGTAGTTGAGCATCTTACTGCTCTTGTTCATCACCTAGACAGCGCATGAGCTTCTTCGCCGTCGATGCATGCATGACGCGTACCATGGTCGAAGGAGGCGTCGCAAGGACCCGTGAATACTACTCGCCACCGATTTGGTTTGTACGGTGTGGAAGGAGGCCGGTTGCCATTGGCCAAAATGCGTGGCTTTTCAAAAGATCTCGGCCCGCCGATTGGCGCAGCGACACGACAGCGGATTGGTCCAAAAGCCAAAGATTTCGTGCGCAAGGTCAAGCTGCATCCTTGCCGTGGTTGCTCGCGGCGATATATGAACTGGCGCTGAGATGGAGTCGATTGCGGGAAGACGTGGGAAAGCGACGACGCACCTGCAAAGCGAACAGCCCAAGAGAACGCGTGCACATGTAGTATTATATTACATGCATTAGCCACATGGCACTATGACCAAGGAGCACTCTACCGCAGCGACTGCATTGCCGGCTTAAGACACCCGTAGTGCAAACGTAATACAAACCATTTCACCTCTATTCACTGCATCTTCATCACTTTGCGCTCGTCGTCTTTGGGCATGGCCATGTATTCGTGCAGCGCCAGAATGCATATTGCCCGAGGAACTGCGGCGTCGCCGAAGCAGGTGGTGTTCGATTCGGATCTTTCAAAATACGACACTCTGATTGGTCCATGGCGGGCAGCAAACTCAGATTGCCAGTTCGCGCGGGGGCTTGAAATCGGTTTTTGGACCGAATCTCACACACATACTGGGGATTTGTATGTGTCCTAATTAGGCATTCGCCCCATCCCCCGTGACAGATATAAATACTTCCCGAGCATGACACCCCACGGGCTTGAAGACGCGTCCGTGGCCGGCCTCGTTGGCACCGGCGTCCTCTTCGGCGTCATCCACGTCATGACAGGGCCCGACCACCTTAGCGCGCTCGCGACGCTGAGCGCAGGCTCCTCCTGGCGGTCCTTTGCCCTGGGCATGCGCTGGGGCATGGGCCACTCGATTGGGCTCATCCTCATGGCCGTCTTCTTCATCCTCCTCGATGGAAAGCTCAACTTGGACAAGCTCACGATCGTGACGGACGTCATTGTCGGCGTCTTCATGGTCGCATTGGGCGGCTACGGGCTCTACAGCGGCCACAAAAAGTACCTCGCGACGCTCGCCGAGCTCGACACGACCAACACGACGTCGGCCAAGACGCGGTCGTACGAAAAGTGCCCCGACGTCGACTCGTCGAGCGACTCGGAGGCCGATCTCAAGGAGATCCACTTGGCGCCGATCGGGACAACGTCCGAAGATGAAGCCACGATCGCATCCAGCACTGGGTCGCCGACCGTGCCCGACATTGACGACGAGATGGAAGAGCTCGACTTGGACGAGATCGAAGGCGCGCTCGAGGCGCAACTCGAAGAGCAGAGCGCGCTCGTGCACAGTCCGGCGCCGGTCTGCGGCCGCCGGTCGTGCCTCCCCACCATCAACATGGACAACCCCGCGACGCAAAAGGTAGTCTTCGCCCTCGTCTCTCAACGTCGTGACGCACTCGTTTGCAGGTGACCGCGCTCTGCGTCGGCATCGTCCATGGCATCGCAGGCCCGGGCGGCATCCTCGGCGTCCTGCCCGCAGTCGGTCTCCACAATTGGACCAAGTCGATCGCGTACCTCGGGTCGTTTTGTGTCACGTCGATCCTCATCATGGGCCTCTTTGCCGCCTTTTACGGCGAAGCCACGGCGCAACTCGGGTACAATGTCCCTGCTTTCCTCTTTGTTCCTCATGCGATCGCAATGTACGTAGTCGGCGGTCGGCCCGGATCGCGTATGGTATTGCGGTGTTTTCATCCATGCTCTCGGTGCTCGTGGGCATCCTCTGGATCGTCCTCGTCGCAACCGGCAAGCTCCAGGACGTTTTTGGCGCCTGATTTGTAGACAGATTGGTGTGTTCGTTTCCTAATATTATCTCGAGGTCTGTGTCTCCAACGGTGTCGACATGCCCCAACTCGAGTGCACCGAAAAGCCCCGTCGGTGAGGACACCAAGAGCAACGTAAAGGGCAAAGCTTACTCGAGACAGAGAACGAAGACACCGTATTGAAAGTACGCCAAGCGTCCTTACGTCGATGGACCCCAGAGCACCGTCCCGTAGATGCATCTGCATGGTGGTCGCGGCTTCGAGGGCGGACGTCGTACGCAAGGTAGTACAACGGATGCGCGCGCAAGGTCGTCTCGCATTGTCCCGTGGCCGTCTGCGCTGCGGATCGCGTCTGCCTCGTACAGCGAGCGTCACACTCGGGCCAGGTAGGATCGTCTCGTTGCTCGCGTATCGTCGTGCAATAGAACCGCACGCATCGCAGCGTGTTCGTCCCGGAGCAGCGCTTGCAAGTGCAGCTTCAAGCGAGCGTGATGCGGCCCTGTACTTGGTGACCGACGCGACGGTACACGAGGGCGAGTACGGACATGGCGTTCGTCTCGCGATCAAGCGGAAAGATGCGACGCATCAGTGCCGTTTGCAGTTGCACGCACATCGTTAAGAACGACCGGTAGTACCCGTCAAACTCTGTGCGTGTGGCGCGCCGTGGCTTCAATCTCGACCGTTAGGCGCAGGCGACGCGTGGAATACCAGCCGTCGATCCCAGCCGGTCAAAGGTCTCGTAAAAGACGATGCGCCGGTACTCGTGGCGAAGGCGGCAGTTGAGCCAACGCTTCAGCAGAACGTGCTGTGCAATGCAGAGCATCTCCGGCGCTCCCGTAGCTCGGCGGGCCAAATAGGCCGCCATCGCGCGCTTCAAGCCGAGCTCCGAGATGACCTTTTGCATCGGCCCCAAGTCCATGGCCGGTTGGAGTCGAAAATGAGCGGTATTCTGCCACGTACACTACCTTTCCCAACCGACAAACGTGATACCTATGCCCTGTCCATCGTAAACGGAAGACGTGAGCGTTATCCACCTTTTGACATATTGGATGCACGGTGCTGCACGAGTTGGTCATCCTTCAAGCCTTCACACACACCACCGCACGATAGTAGTCTGCATCATGGCTCGCTACGTGCTTGCTGCTCTCTATCAGAACGCTTCGTAATGACAGCTTGGGGCTACGAGGTCCCATGTTTTCGAGGAAAAAAAAGCCTCAGAGCTTTGTTTCTGGCTTGGTGAAAATGACCAAGTCCTTGCCAGTACTAGCTAGTGTCCCCTCCAAGTAAATAACAAGCCGCCCGCTACGCTAATCGTGATGTCTTTGTGCGGGCTATTCGTCTTGTGCGTCATTGCAGCCTCCTGGTGTCAGTATCTCTCTTTCTCTTCAGCCCAGGCGTGTACGAGCCCCTGCACTGTAGCGAGTGTAGTAGCAGCGCCCAGGTCACGTCATCGCCTAGGCGGCAATGAAGCGACGCAGTGCTGTTTGTTGCGCTTCTTGGACACTGCCGTGGCTCGTCGCTGGACAACCTCTGCATGGCTGGCGGGAGCGGTGACATCATCAACGCCATACCTCGAGGCCATGCAGCGATAGCCTCAGACGTTCCGCTTGCCTCTTGACGGCAGCGTCATATCAAGGGCCACTGTATTGCATGTGTGTGCTGGCGTGGCCTAAATGTTGAAAGGCAAGTTGTGCATCAACAGCTCGATAAATTAGAGTTACAGAGTGGGTCGCCACCTACGCAACTGCAGCCAAACTAGCTTTCCCATTCTGCCTCTCTACTCTACAAGTCGTCGATGGCGGGGGTCGACACCTACGCACCGTAGCGCTCGTCCGTGCGCTCTCCCCCGTCAATCCTTGAATCTTGTCAAGATTTACTTCTTGGCAATGACCTTCGAGAGGAAGTCGGCGTGCTCCTGGTACGGGGTCTTGCCGAACTTGTTCTCGGCCCAGAGGTCGGGCGTCAAGTACGAGTACGTGTTGCGGAGAGCGTA